TAAAACCTTAATCAACCAAACCACGTATTATACTTCAAAGAATGGCTTCCGGCTGTTTATTTGCCAAGCGTTAGAGTATTAGGGAGGAATAATGTTAATCTGGCAGAATCACAATATCGTCGAGAACTCCAGGAAGCTATAGCCACATGTGAAATAAATTGTTCACAAAGCAAACAAAAGCTGGAGGATATCTTATCACATTTAACTCCATTTCCAAGGTATGTAATAAAAAAAGTCAATTATGTTTCTTCCAAAGATGATGATACAATTTTGCAAAGAGAGTGGTAAAAATAACAACTAGGTCTACGTTGCTGTCTGTATCCGGGTGTGCGCGAGTAAATTTGTAACGTATGTCTTAGCTTATGGAATGCTAGCACCATAAGCATCGAAGGGTGCAGTACAGGCGATTCATTTTCCGGCATCGGCATGGGCTTCTCATTCCATGCTAGGTTTGGTACGGGCATGCCATAGAGTACTTCGTCACCGACCGTGGATATGAATCTCAAATAAAAATTATGAAAATGAACAATCTAAGTTAACTGATTTTACATATTATATAATGAAATCTCATATTTCAGGATCGTTATTTTTTTATCTGATTACAGGTACAGCGTCAAAGAAATTATGAAGATTCTTGGGGTATAGAGAAAGAAAAGGTTTGTAAACTGCAGACATTATTGTCTCAGAAATTTATTATGAGGGATAATTAGAAGTAATTTTATTTCAGCGTCAGATAGCAGAACAAAATATAAGCATTATTCAAAAGAACATTGATTCAATATTAATCAAATGTGTAAGTAACTATATATTAGAATTTCTGAGATCTCATATGTTAATAAAAGATTGGTTATTTTTTTTAGAAAGCTAAGATGTTAGGTGAATGCTCGGAAAGTAGCTTGGGTGTATATAATGAAGTGGTTCACCATTTACAACAGCTAGATTTGGGGGACAATTGAGCCAGAAGCTCCTATAGCATCCGGAGTAGTTGATCTTACAGGAAGTGGAGATACGTTTGCAAATTTATTATCTTTGGAGACGAGGCAGTTCTTAACAAGACATTCGTTTCACAATAATGAGATTCCTGAACAGATTGGTATAATGACAAATGAATTCGTAAGCACGTACAATGATCTAAGCTCTGATTTTGATCCAGTATTAATGCGACCAATAAGTTTTCCACAAGGAGAGATGACCCTCGAAACTAGGCGCATTCTAATGACAGTTTTTGATTTATTGGAAGGATTGTAAGTCATAACATTAAAATCGCATTGGTATTTTTACATTATCAAGAATCTTACTGAATATATTTATTTGCAGACGCCATATTTGGAGTTGTAGACCATTGTTAACAGAAGATGATTATGGTATGAATGCTTATAGAATTCATGCGGTATCCAAAGTTTT